AAGACAGTATACAGAGCCAAATTCAGCTCCATTACTGACACAGACATTTGCAATGCCATGAACCACTTAGGAGAGCCCAATCACAATGAAGCACTGTCAGTGGATGCCCGTCAGGAGCTGGATCTGAGAATTGGTTGTGCATTTACAAGGTATTTGTTGACATAGCTCCTCTACCCTGACATTAATTAGTATTGGCTGAGAGCTGGTCTAGAGGTGGTTGCTTTTATCATAGTGATTAGCATCCCTAGATCCTGTTTGTCACATTTCTGCCATATTGCTTAGGAGAACTAGCTGTGTCAATCAGGTGCATTGCATGAGTTTCCCCATCTGTGATTGTACCATTAGCATCCACCAAGACAGGGGTGGAAATTTCAAGCTATGACAACCCCCAGCTTGCACGAATGGAGTATAATGATAGAAAGGGAGCGATAGCCAGAAAAAGTTTGGGGACCACTGTATTAAAGTATTAGAATATGTAAGAACCATACACAGTAAATTCTGTGTATAAAATTTACATGTAAGATTTGAAAGTGAAGTGCAGGCAAGATAGTCATGATCTAGCAATTCAGTGTTCTCCAAACCCATGCTAGCGTTATTCTATATGTAGAAATGATTAAATTGCATATCAATACTGAAAGCTGTAATAGATTTTATTTATTTATTTATTTATTTATTCTTAAAGGTTTCAAACAAAATACTTCCAGGGAAAATATGGCAATTTAGACAGCTCATTAATCTCCTTTGGGCCCTGTCAAACTCCAACGCTGGGGTTTTGTGTGGAGCGGCATGATAAAATCCAGTCGTTCAAGCCTGAAACTTATTGGGTGTTGCAAGCCAAGGTTAGCAATATCGACCATTTCTATCTCTCTCAGCATCCAGTTTATTGGTAATGCTATTGGTTAAAACAGGTTGTTTAGTGCAGGTTTCAGGGTGTATTATAAATATATAATCTGAAGAGTAACTCTTATTTCATGGCCTTCAAACTAACCATAATGTGATCCGCTAAACAGAATCATGGTTCAGACACTGTGGAAGTGGCTAATGATGGAGAAGAGCCAAGACAATACAGTACATATGGTTTGAGACTCTTTAGCTTGGTGTTTGATTCCTCAGAGCAGCTGCTGTGTGACCAGTGGGATAGAAATTAGGAGAACAAGCGATAAAAAGTAACAAAAATAACAAACCATCCTGACTCCTCATCTCCACTGCTCCAGTGATAGGTTTTCTGTGCCTAATTAATCCTTGTCATTTTGCAGACGTTTGAACTCTTTGACATATAATGTGAATTTCTCTGCTACTATAATCACAAGTTGGGGTTGTCACAAGAGAATGAGTGGCCGGACCCAATGGCTACCATTATAAGCCACAAAACCTGAATCTTTATCTTACTAGTAAATAAGATGAAAATTCAGAAATAGTTTTTATTAGTCTTGGATGTTTGACATGTAACATCATGCCACCATACCACCCCAAACACACCCAATCTCATCTGGTTTTAGAAGAGCCTCTGCCAGTCAGAATTGACAGTATGGACTTAGACAGACCAATGGTCTTACCTATGTTCCTGTTATTTGCCGGTTCCTATGCTGATAGTGATAGAATGTTAGTATGCCATTACAGTGTTCATTGGGACTGTCTGGCAAAGGCGCTACAGATTAGGATTTTTCTGGAAAAGAACTGAAAATACTTTGTTTTTCTGTATATTTTTCTCCTGACAGGTTAGCCATGAAAAAGATAGTTGTCTGACTCTGGACTGGGACAGAGTGAGAGTCTTCGATAGAGAGATTGCTCAGATGTTCCTAAACATAACAAAGGCAGCAAAGGATGCAAAGGTGAGACTATAAATGTGTGGTATTTGAACTGAATTCCTAGTTTAAAAATCCTGTCCTGCCCTGCTCAGTTTAAGTAACATCATATGTCTAATGGTTAATTTTAATTATGCATAAATGTTTGGCATTTTCAAGTGCTCAGACTAAAAGGGTAAACAACAATACACAAAGGTTTGTGTACCTGTGTGTGTGCTTATATATTCATACACAGAGACACAAACACACGTTGAGACCAGTGCAACCCTGGAGACCAGAGTTCAAATCCCTGCTTGGCCATGGAAACCCACTGGATGAACTTGGGCAAGTCACACTCTCTCAGCCTCAGTGGAAGGCAAAAATAAGCTCACCTCTGAACAAATCTTGTGGTCAGCAATCTCTTTCAGATTTTTCTAAGTGATCATCAGACCTTACTAAGAAATGCTTTTTATATCCTGTAGGTAGAATCTGTAAGCAGGAAGGAGAAGGCTAAGCAAAGACCTCTGGCTCTGAATACTGTTGAAATGTTAAGAGTTGCCAGTGCTGCTTTGGGTGAGTGTTTTGCCCAAAACTATAAACTCTGTCTGCAAGTGTATATCTAAAGATTTTTTGGTAAGATCCATTAGAAATATGCACAAGTTCAGTAGACATAATTCCCAGCGAATGAATAAGAGCTCCAACATTTCTATACTTTCCATTAGTTTAAATTTTATTTAATTAATTAAATTTAATCTGGCTTTAGTTTCAGTTAGATTTTTACCCATACCCCATGTGATCGCAGAGACTCCAAGGAGGAAGGATATAACCCTGCACATCTGGCTGGGAGTAAGTCCCATTTCACTCATTGAGACATAGTCCTGCGTAATTCTGCATAGGAGTAGGCTATACACAACTCTCCATCTCCCTCTCTTTTAAAAATTTTTACACACCACCCTTATTCCACATTCCCTTCCTATCCTAGGCTGAAGCATATGCTGCCTCTGGAGAGGCTTTTACAGTCACAAGAACAATACCATATGTCTCCTTTTAGCAATATTTTTTTTCTTTTTCTTCTCTTCCTGTCATTTAGTTTGTTTAGGTTTCTATTAGGATCATCATTCCATTTAGGAAATGTTAATTACTCTGTTAAAATCTGTATGATTTGTTGATTAAGGATGCCTACTAGAAAAAAATAGTCCCAGAGCATACTTTGTTGTTTTCAGATAAGGTATGTATGTGTCATATTAGGCACAATCTTAGTTAATGATGCCTAAAATGATTCGCATAAAGATTAACATGGGAGAGAGGGAATCTGCTGCCCATTCTCATTTTGAATGCACCTTTTCCAGTTAGCCGAAAGGGTTTTTTAAAAAATGATCTATTAACTCTCATAGTAGTTCATGCTTTATGCTACAGAGGAAATGTTAGAAGGGTTTTTTTATTTTGTTGATTGACAAACTTGGGGATGGATCATTGCTTTATTCATAGCAGAGCAGTACTTTGTAAACAGAAGATTCCAGGTTCACACCTTTCCAATTAAAAGGATCCAGGTTGCAAGTGATAGGAAAGACCATTGACTTGAGACCTGGCAAGCTGATCCTGGTCAGAATAGGTAATACTGGGCTAGATGGATGAACAGGTTGACCTCAGATGGAAAAGCTTTAATTTAGATGCAACTCTGAAAAAAGTGACACCACTTTGCCTGTAAACATTTTGCTTAAACCAATTACACAGTTAAACCATTACAAAAAAAAAAAAGTAAACATTTTACTTCTAGGAATGGGACCACAACATGCTATGCAAATAGCCGAACGGCTTTATACTCAGGGTTATATTAGTTACCCTCGAACAGAAACTACCCATTACCCGGAAAACTTTGACTTGAAGGGCTCTTTGCGGCAGCAGGCTAATAATCCTTACTGGGCCGAAACAGTAAGTACAGTATATGACATGATGCTTTATTTTTTATGCATACTATTTTCTGTCTTGAAAAGTAATGAGGAAAAAGTCATTTCACTGAAAACAGTTATAAAGTTTTCACTGTTATAAAGTTCAGTGGAAATACTGGGGAATGTTTAAGTCATGATTCAGCCAGTTTTCAGTCCTGTTGATTTTAATGAGATCTGTAAGCACATACTTAAATCTCTCATTGAAAATAATAGGACTTAGAATGGCTGAACCAAGTAGATTGTGTCCATAAAGCCAAATCCACTCTCTGTGGCTTGCCCTCATTTTCTGTTGTTTTCTTCCTAGGTAAAAGCATTACTGGCTGAAGGTATTAACAGACCGAGAAAAGGCCATGATGCTGGGGACCATCCTCCAATAACACCAATGAGATCTGCCACAGAAGCAGAACTAGGTGACTAGGAATTGATAATTCGAAACTCATAAGTATTGATGACCTGATCCTGTATCTAGCAACTTACCTGGTAGTCATATGCTACAAGGCTTTCCCTGGAAGAATTTCCTGGTGGAGAAGGACAGAGTGCTCCATCCATCATCCACTGTTATATTTTGTTCCTCTGCTAAAAGAAGGAAAGCCTCTTCCTATAGTGTAGCAATGTGGCATACTGACAGAGGGGAATGGGAAGAACCATCCATATACTCCATTGGGGCTGTTTTGGTAGTAGCCCTTTTTTTTTTTTTTAAATAGTCTGCTAAGATGTTAGTAGTCAACTGCTTTCCTCATTGCAAAGTTAGGGGTTTCTTTATATCTCATAGAAATTAGTTTTGTTATTTGAAATGTATGTGAATAGGGAAAATAAGTCTTTTTCCTTATATCATTTCACAAAATGTGATATACTTTTTGTAAAGAAAATGCAGACTGAGTCTTGTGGGCAACACACTTGTTTCTTTCTAGGTGGTGATGGATGGAGACTGTATGAATACATTACTAGGCATTTCATTGCCACTGTCAGTGCTGACTGCAAATACCTCCAAACAACCATTGCTTGCAGCATTGGACCTGAACGTTTTACCTGTATAGGAAAAACCGTTATTTCACTAGGTAAGGAGGAAAGAAAAATGATGTTTCTCATTCACCATATCTTTTCAACTGAGTTGTTATTTACCTTCAAGTCATTTCTGACATATGGTGACTCTAAGGCGAACCTATCATGGGGTTTTCTTGGCAAGATTTGTTTAGAGGAGGTTTGCTTTTGCCTTTCCCTGAGGCTAAGAGCAGGTGACTTGCCCAAGGTCACCCAGTGGGTTTTATGGCAGAGCAAGGAATTGAACTCTGGTCTCCAGAGTTGTAGTCCAGCACTCAGACCACTACACTATGCTGGCCATCTCTTTCAGCTGATACAGATGTTTAATAGATGAGAGTATGTCTTACCTTAACCTGCTCACAGGATGATTGCAAGGTCGATATTAAGAGGGAAAAGAATGTATGTTTCCCTGAGCTCCTTGGAGAATGCAAGAGAGGAATGTTTCCCTTTTCAAAGGGTTGTTTCCATTCTCAATATAAAACTTAGTATTTTAGTGCAGTATAATGCTGCATAGAATTTATATGTTGCTGAGCCTGGAATGTAGCATTAATTTAACTCTTTGTATCATAAGTTGGAGCTGACTGGAAAGCACATAATAACAGTAACATCTTTGGTGTGCTTCTTTTAACACTTTGGTTGGCTTGTTATAGACCACAAGTGTCATCTTTCAATAATTGTGCAGTTTTCTTTTTAACACTAGGGCCAACTTGTCACAGACCATGCGTCTTAATAGTTCTGCCTGATTAGGAAATAAAACCAGTATTTATAACATTTTATGTCTTTTTTTATACATAACAGAGGTTACTGTAGATCATTGGGATCTCAGAACTGGCTTAATTGGTGGTCTGTCTGATACCAGAGCCAGTCACCAACCAATATAACTGCAACCAGTGGAGGCTTAATCTGTAGAAAAATTTAGACAGAAAGAATCCTAATTATTATTATTTTTTAAACCATATTAAAGGTTTTACAGAGATCATGCCTTGGCAGAGCATCCCACCGGAAGAAAGTCTACCCAGCTGTGAGAGGGGAGATGTCTTCCCTATCAGTGAAGTAAAACTGTTGGAGAAACAAACCAATCCTCCTGATTACTTGACAGAAGCTGAGCTCATCACTCTGATGGAAAAGCATGGAATTGGTAGGAACACATCTCCCTAGTAGCATATTTAACATACATGAAGCTGGAGAAGAAAATAAGTTGTCAAATAACATCTGATGTTTCATTAAATATTTGTAGTCATGGTGATGGTGTGTTGTGTGTGTGTGTGAGAGAGAGAGATGTCCTAATGAACTGGATTGAGCAGACTGCAGACTTGTGGAATCTATTTTTTTTTTTTTACCAGAAGTCTGAAATCAATCTAACAGAACCAGGCTAAAATAGACAGTCAGATGGATGAGAAAGACTTAGAATGAACAGGATGCTCTAAATACCTGTCCAAGAATTGCTTTCAGTACAAGATCAAAGTTTACAGTTCTTTAAACACAAAAATCCACTCTAGGTTTTCCTTAAATCTTTATTTTTTGTCAGCAGCCTAATTTAGAATGAGAATGGGGAGGAGCCTTTTTATTTTTGCTATGTTTAAACAGAGAAAATGAGAAAGAGGGAGCAGTCTCTGCTTCCCCAGTCTAAAGGCAATGAATTGTATGCTGCCTTAGACATGTTCTGACTGGAACCTGGCCCTAGTCTACCATTGATGAAGTTTGCGTGAGATTGAGAGAAAAGGACAAATGGTTATAAAGTTATTGGTTAGCATACTAACTAAAAAACTGAAGTTGAACTTTTGTATTATTTACCTGGGAATCAGGTCTAAGTAAGCATGTATAGGATTTTACTATGAAGTACAAATCAGAAAATCCCAGTTTAAATCTTCCTTATGTCATAAACTTAGGCAACCTCCCCCCATCCCTTCCAACAGCAGCATTGTTGTAGGGTTATTCTTAGGATTACAGCTTGATAAAGAATATGAAATACACCTTAAGTACTTGAATTTACTAAACAGATGTTTATTGTTACTGTTAGGAACGGATGCCAGTATTCCAGTTCATATCAACAACATCTGCCAGCGCAACTATGTGACTGTGGAGAATGGCCGCAGACTGAAGCCTACAAACCTGGGCATTGTTCTGGTCCATGGCTACTATAAAATAGGTAACGTTGCTTATGCTTTTCTTTGATTTTTGAACAGCTCTAGAGAGTCCAGCTAAAGTAGGAGAAATAAAAATGCGATTAGAAAAACTTAAATACATGATCTCTGGTGGATAAAATTCATTAGACTGATATGTTGTTGAACATGGGCAGAGATATTTCTAAATGTAGTTAAACCATGCTGTTTAACTTCAACTCCCATCAGTCCCAACCCACATGGCCAATAGTAAGGTACTGTGGAAATTGTCCAAGGCATCAGAAGAGCCGCATGTCTCCAAGCCCTGTATTAGAGAGTTGGTGCGGTCCTCTTGACATCTTTTGAGTATGTCTGAGCCGCCTTGAGTCCCTGTACTGGGAGGAAGGCGGGATAATAATACACATTGAAATGAATGGGAGTTGCCCAAGAAAACCAGAGTGCTTTGACACAAATTGAGGTTATTTCAGTGGAGCATGAAATAAAGATGTTCCTGGTGTACTGTACCTAATATGCTTATTCCTACTTGCTCTTGTTAGAACTACTGTGTATCTCTGCGTTTTCCGCTCCTCTTAGATGCTGAGCTTGTGCTTCCCACAATCCGCAGTGCAGTAGAGAAACAGCTTAATCTAATTGCTCAGGGTAAAGCAGATTATCACCAGGTCCTGGAGCACACCCTGGATATCTTCAAAAGAAAGTTCCACTACTTTGTTGATTCAATCGCTGGTAAGGATTTTTTCACATTTAAACCTGTCTTGCCCTTGGTACTGAAACCAATAAGCAAATAAAACATGTAAAATGCTCTGTTTTTTTCCCAAGTTTGTAGTATTCTCTATAGAAAAGCCAGATAGATCTTGGAAGCTCCTTTTTAGTTACTGTATCCCTTAGAAGTTTAATTGCATCCACAAAGCTATCTAGCTTTCAGACTGGAGAAGCAAAACAAAGATCCCGAGGCTACTCTTGAAACTACCTTTAATGTAACTCTGATTTTGTCTCTCTTTCACACCTACTCTCTGCTCCCAAAGCAAAGGAAAATGTTAGGACCCACAGCATAATCCTGCTGTGAATCATGGCAATATTAAATGAACTCTTGCAAATGGATAACAAATCAAAGAGAAGAGAATATTGTTTGCCTGAGTGAACATGATATGCTGGTAGGTTAACAATTGTCAAATGTTTAGAGCTGACAGTATTACACCTTTTCAGAACTTAATATTTGAAATATCAGGCTGATGCTAGTTAACTTCTTCCTTGCAGGAGTGTTAATAAAAATGACTCATGGGCGGCCTGCTATCACCTGAGCAAGTCCCAGTTTTGTTTTAGACAAGCTGGTCTTGTACTCAAGAGTTCTGCCGCCCCAACAAAATAAGAAACCCTGCTATCTCTTGCTCAATCTGTAAGCATTATGGAGAAAATTAATATATGTGAACAGAGTCAACATAAGGGATTCCAACCTGCTCAGGAAGCAAGAATTGTACATCTGCTTATGCCTGTTTCTTTGTCATAGCGCAGGAGTGGGGAACATTTTTCTGTTCAGTTCCACATACTGTCAGGGATAATTCATTGGGCACAATATGCTGGCAGCGAGCAGGGCCCAAGCCAAAAGTGTGTGAAGTGATCCCTTCTTCTTCCCTGTTTCCCTTTCCACTCTTGAGAGAGGGACAGATTGTGTTTTCTAGGGATCTGAACTGATAGTTTGCAAGAGACCTCTGAAACTGAGCCATGTGTCACATGAAATTTGTCCACCTTCTGTAATTCTTGTCCCTGTTAAGACTTCACAGAACTTTGAAACTTACTTTCAAAGCGGTTTGCTATGTAAGACATTGTTAACCCCCACTCTTTAATTTGTTAACATTGCTTCCCCTGACATTACTTTGGGGCCAGGGTGAACCTTTAGGTTCAATAGAAGAATGGCAGGGTAGGCAACCTTTCCCCTATAAGGGCCGAGGGACTTCAGCTCCCAGAAGCCTCAGCCATGTTGGCCAGTAGTCCCATGTTGGCCAATAGCTCCTGGGATTCTGGGAGTTGAAGTCCCTCAGCCCTTAAAGGGGAAAGGTTGCCTACCCCTGGGCCATAAAACTTGAACAATTCCATTCAGGGTGCCTCTGAAATGTAAAATGCCCTTAAATGGTAACTTGAAACATAACTAGATAATGTTACTTATTACCCTGAAAAATACTTCTTGGTCCAAACTTCTGCATTACTTTTGGATTGTAACTTATGCCCTCATTGGCAAAAGAGAGGAAAGGAAAATTGTTACAGGTTGCTACATTGCTTGTAACTCTCATTACTTTTAAGCTCTCAGACATCTTAAGACATAATGCCCATTAATGTCTATCTTTTCTCCAGTTCTTGCAATAAATAGTCAGTTTCCACCACACACTCCCAACACCCATGTTTACACATGGAATATATTTGGGGAGGGGGGAATGATTGCAGTGCCAACTGTACTTCAAAGTAAATTCCACAGCATTCAGTGTTGCTTACTTCCCAGTTAATATACTCATGTTAGAGTATATACCAAGTTGGTTGCATTTTCTTGTTATGAAAATAACATTATTCAGAGTAAAAAAAAGTTCTATGGGAAATGTTGCTCATCAATGAAGTCCTGATTTTCTAATACTATAGAAGGAACTTCATCAATTCAGTTTCCCTTTCCCCCAACCCCTGGCTATTTCCAAGAAGTGTAGAGTTCCAAACTTTCTATGACTTGGGTTTTGGATTTGTTTTGTCTTGTTTTGGCAGGTATGGATGAACTGATGGAAGTGTCTTTTTCACCACTTGCTGCCACAGGCAAACCTCTTTCCCGCTGTGGAAAATGTCACCGTTTCATGAAATATATCCAGGTGAAGAAAATCTAGAATTTAAACTGATGTAAGAGAAACTGATTCATAGATATTTCCCCCACAACCACATGTACTCTGATGTGTATGTGTGTGTAAGTAATTTTGCAGAGAAGCACAGGAAGCCCATTGTATTGTTATAAAGTGGGTGTCATATGTGTTCAAGAACTGGTTTTACTCATCACTGTGGTTGGCAGAGAACAAGTGAAATTTCCAGACACTTTTCAACACTGATTTTCTATCTAGTAGAAAGGTACTGCAAATAGTGAATGAATTCTGTATGATCAAGGGATGCTCCAATTAGTTGTTTATCTTTTGCATAAGTTACAGACTTT